ATGGATGTCTCTGGGCTAAGCCCCGGATATCTAGTCACGTCCCTGTCATGGTATATATATATGTCCAAAAAGCAGTTTAAACTCGTAAAGTATATAAATAGGCTATATAAGACTATATAATGAGGCTATATAAATGCCTCATTCATTCATTAATTCATTCATAAAGTACTTTTTTGTTAGTGCGTTTGTAACACAAATTAAAATAATATTTTCCTTCCTGTTGTAAGCATGTTTTCTTTACTGTAAGTTAGGTAGGTGATATATTTAGAAAGTTATCAGCAAGACTGCTCTGATACCACAGCGTTTTCTGTGGTGTGTATATTTTTTCCCCTCTCATTTCTAGTTTCTCTGACCTTTAAAGCTGCTGCAAGTGATTATTTTTGTAATACCAGTCATAAAACGTCCCTACTGCCTGGTATATCACTAAAATACGGGTCTTTAAACATTCAGAGCTGTCTGTGGGACAGCGAATCAGAAACGCTCTCTGCCTGTCAATCAATTGCCGCATGTCGTCCGGTTGGCTGAGATGTCTTTGGAGGGCGGGGTTTTGGAGGGAGCGTGTTGTTGAACTAGGTAGCAAGAACCTGCTGTATCCCGTGTCACCGCTAGATGGCAAGAGGGACATTTTTGCTGCAGCCAACACTGACAGGAAGCGTGAGTTTGCTGCCAAACGCTCATTATAATGTGTTGCTGTACATCAAACGAAGCATGAAAATTAATTTACAGCAAATCTGAGCATTTACTGAATCCATACAGTAAAAAAAAAAAAAAAAAAAACATTGCAAAACCACAAAGTTTTTTAACTGCATTATTAAATGTGCAGTTTAATCATTTACTTAAAGGGTTAGTTAACCCCAAAATGAAAATGATGTCACTAATTACTCACCCTCATGTTGTTCCAAACCCGTAAGACCTTTGTTCAACTTCGGAACACAAATTAAGATATTTTTGATGAAATCTGAGAGCATTATTTACGTTCAGCATGCACGCGTTTTCTCCTGAGCGTAAACAATGCTGATTAGGTTCTGGGGAAAGCTCGCACATGTGTCTCTCAGATTTAATCAAAACTATCTTAATTTGTGTTCCGAAGATGAACGAAGGATTTATGGGTTTGGAATGACATGAGGGTGAGTATGACAGAATTTTCATTTTGGGGTGAACTAACGCTTTAATATGAAATAACATATTGTTCTGTTATGTGTGATTTCTGCTGCCAGCTCGTTTCAAAGAATACAATGTTAAACAAGACTACACTTTAAACCCTTTAAATTAATAACATTTCTGCAATCGTTTAACCATTTCTTATCATGTAAATATTTACTTTGTTTGCGTTGGGACACAAAAGGCATTTTCTCCGACACACTATGACTGCTAATAGAACCATAAAATACACCAAAAACTCAACATAATTACAAAAGGAATTGATTTTATTCGTGTGCTGTAATCCAAATCTTCAAAATCCATACGACTGCGAGGAACAGTCCCAAATTCCTTTTTTTCAGCGATCTTCACCTCCATCCTCAGCAAAGCATTGAACGTTAGCATCAAAACCCGTGCTGACGTGCTCATTACAAATTCAAATGTTTCTGCTTCAAGAAACAACAGGTTTTCCGGCAGGATATTCGACGCTCATTGGCTCTCGCCTGCTTCGTCACAGATTGCAACATGCCGTGTTTCTGGTGAGGTGTGAAAGAAACGCACGGAGAGGAGAGGATCATGGAGAGCTCTTGGAGATACTCTCCTTCATGGAGAGGATCAAGATAATAATCTGGGTAATATTTTTAGCGATTAACAACTTAAATTCTGATCTGCATCTCACACAAACCTACTGTATTCCGCCAGAGAGGAATGCGGCTGCAACCAGTGTTGGGCAGTAACGCATTACTTAGTAATTTGTAGTAATTACTGTAATTTGATTACTTTTTTAGTAACGGAATAATTTAACGCGTTATAATTTTTAAAATAGTAATTAGAGTATAGTTACAAGCCGAGGTCTCTATACGTTACTGTCGCGTTACATTGCTGACAGAATGCAGTGTTTTATAATCTAGAGATTGTAAAAAGAATGTAGCACATGCACTGTCGAGTCCAGTGCCAGTGGATTAGAGACCTGCTCCCGCGAGACCCGACGCAACAGAGTGCGGCGCGGGACAAGACTTGATAGG